ACAGACAAACAAATAAAAACAAACATACATACACACATACACATATGGGGTCTCATTTACATCGTTGGTTAATCTATTTGATTACCTCACAGAATATCTGTTTGTACAATACATTCCCCCCCCCCTAAATTTCTTATATAAATCTTTTGCATTATTATTAATGTTCTTAAAGTTTGTATTCTCTTTTAGTTTGGGTGTATATACATATAGAGTATTTATTGGAATTGCAGAGCCTTTCTCTGGTGCAAGGAATCTTTCCCTGGCAGAAAGACCTCTTCCATCAGAGGAGGGCTGTACCATTAGCAGGGCAGGTTCAGAGGCAACCATCCCCAGGCTTCAGCCTATAGCTTTTAGTAGTGACTTTTCATGTTCAGAGGCCACTGAGCAACAAACTACCAGGAATAGCCATTATTTCCTGCCCAGGCTTCAGCCTATAGCTTTTAGTAGTAACTTTTCATGTTCAGAGGCAGTCTTTGTGCAAGCCACTGAGCAACAGACTACCAGGAATAGCCATTACTTTTCCTATTTTTGGACTTCCTGGAAGCATCTATCAGGCTGGTCTAAACTACTGAATGTTGAACTAGATGTACCTTGTACCTTGGGTCTAGCTCAGCATAGCAATCCCTATGCTTTTCTAGTACACCAGGAAAAAAACAACAAGCCTTCACAAGAACTTCATAACTTGAATAACCTTTCTGGGTGATTGGGTAGACTTCAGAGTTAATTTTACGTTTGTCAAGATGTTTGTCTGGCTTAGAATATTCTAATAGTTTTGGCTCTCTCCTGTTTTTCAGAGAGGTCTTAGAGAGCTCCTAAAACCCCCCCCCCCCCCGTGACTTTTGCATCATACCACACCAAGACTGGTCTCAGTGTTCCCTCTAAGCTGAGTTAGTGTGAGCTAGCTCACAGTTTTTTAGCCTCCAGCTCACACATTTTTGCCTTAGCTCAGGAAGGTTGGCTCCAGAGCAAACTAATTTATGCAGCAGCCAAATTGCTCACTCACGACTGTAATGCCAGTCGCTCACAAAGTAGGATTTTTGCTCACAGGACTCCACAGCTTAAGTGGGAGCACTGTCTGGCAATGCCTTTTGGGGAGCCACAGTGGCCTGCTGTGTAAGGGAGAAAACAGGGAAAGATCCACGAGTGCCTTCTGTTCACTCAGCGCCTAACTAAAAGCACAGGTGATGGAGTTTGTCTTATGCCTGAAAGATGTTAACATAGGCAGCAGGTAAACCTGGCTGATGGGTGTGTTCCCTAGCCAGCCCCCCCCCCCGATAATCACCCACTTCAGTTCTGAAGACAGTGGAACTCTGAAGATGGGAAATGGATGGGAAAGCTCCTACGTGAGCAGGCATGGTCCAGATATCCCGACCCAGTCTGAAGGCAGAGCCACTGCTCAGTGGGAGAGTACATTCATTGCATCTGCAGTTAAAAATGCTTCTTGATTACTGGGGCTTGGGAAGGCCTTGAAGAGCCAGTACCAGGTAGGGGAGGTAGGATGGGCTAGATGGCCTGAACTCCACGGAAGGCTGTCTTTGGGGAGGGGCCGTGGCTGAACGGCATAGCATGCAAATGGCTCTCTTCCTAGCCTCTACAGTTAAAGGATCTCATGCCCTTGCTCTTCACTTTAAAGTAGGCTGCTGAGTTACTGGGACCTGGGATGGTATTGGGAGCATCATATCTGTCTCTTGCTCTCCATCTTTTAGAGCGAAATGCAGAAGGCTGCCTTTGAAGCTCTCCAGGTGAAGCGAGATCTTATGCACTGCCAGATCAGGAATCAGGTGAGTGGAAGTGGGGATTCTGCAGGGAATACCCTCAGGTCTCCTCTCTGCACAGTCTGCCTTTGTAAGTCCAGTCCCGGGAGCCCATGTTGCAGGAGAGTGGAATTTTCCTGGCCTGCAAGCCAAGTCCTGTGCTTCACTCCCTCAGAGCCAGTGAGGTAATGCCCCATTCCGGGAAACTTCATTGCATTTCCATCCCACCTCAGAGAATGGCCCATGAATGCATGAACTTCATGATTTGTGGTTGTCTTTTAGTTTCTGTCTCTGTCATCAACCTGCTTGTTCAGATCCATTCTGGCAAAAGGGAAGCACATCCGTGTAAGAGCATGTGGCCACAACCCAGTTGAGCAGAAGCGTATTGAATTGTTGCCACCAGAGGCTTGAGGCAATAGAGTTTGCAAGTTCTTCAACAGTGTGTCCTCCCTCCCACACCCCCTTCCTTTGGTTAACAGGGCACTTTGGCCTCCAGTCTGGTGAACCTGGGAGAGGACTTTCTAAGAGGTGCTGGGCAAGGGTGTTCATTGACTTTGCTCTTCTGTGGTGGCTTTGCTGGACTGTAGTGAGCTCTAGCACCATATTACCTTTCTGGGAAGCTTACTACTGCACCCAGTGTCTCTGGGAAGCATACTAGAAGCATGGGCTATCATCTAACTAGATTGAGCGAGTCCTTCCCTTTCGTCGGATGATACATCGCTGGTCCCCTTTGGAGGAGAGACGCTTCCGTTCCCAAGAGAGAGGCTCTGTCGTAGCTCAGCAAAGCAGCTACCTCCGGAGCTTCACCTCCGGAGACACTAGAGAGGCACGCTCCATCTGCCACTACACTCCATTGGTATATCGTGCCTATAGAATGGCAGATGTTTGTCTGAGGCTTAGTGAGAAGCAATGTGGCCTGTTAGGTTGGCACAAGGGGGTCTCTCCTCCGTTTTGCTAGGAGATCCTACTGAGCTCTCCTTGGCCATCAGTGAGTGCCATTCCCCCCCCCCCCCCCCCCCCCCGATTTGTCATTCAGAGCCAGTGTCTGCAGCTTTCTTCCTGGGCATGTCAGCATGTGGCTTACGTAGAGGAATCAAGTGTGATCGTTCAAGTTGTCTGCTCCCCACCAATGTTCCCTCTTAAGTTCTGGAGTCTTGTGAGCGACTGGCATTAAAGTTGTGAGCGAGGGATCTGGCTGCTGCATAAATTAGTTTGCTCTGGAGTCATCATCCCTTCCTGAGCTCAGACAAAAATGTGTGAGCTGGAGGCTAAAAGAACGGTGAGCTAGCTCACACTAACTCAGCTTAGAGGGAACACTGCTCTCTACTGGTCAGGACTACCTGTGACAAGGGAGACAGTTGAGACTAGCAGTGCATGCCATGTCCCCAAGAAAGAAGGCACCTGCCTTTTCGATGCAATAGTACCCAGCTACAAATCTAGACAGCTGCCGTGTGGCCACCTTCTCCCAAGGCAACAAGGGCAAACGTGTAGGTTGGTGTTTTTTTAAGAATGCAAGGAGAGACCCCGCTCTTCATCAAAACATGCCTATTTGCTAAGAAGCTGCTGCAAGGGGCACTTGCTTAGCCCTGGAAGGCCTAAGTGAGAGCACAGGAGGGGTACAGGTGGAGCCCCAGGCAGTTTCCTTGGGGCCAGAGCTGAAGCCAGTGACAGCTGAGTCCTTTCCTATGCAAGTAAAAAACCCCTGTTTCATCTTCTGCCTAGATTAAGTTAATAGAGAGAGAGTTATTGCAGCTGACACAGCTGGAGGTAAAGAGGCAACAGCTGGACACAGAGGCACTGCAGGTAGGTTGGGCTTCCTGGGGCTGCTGATATTGAACCATCTGCTCACTCATGCTCTTCTCACCCCTTTCACCTGGTGCTTGGCCAGGAGTTGGGAGGGCAGGGAATATCTCAGTCCTGGTTTCCCCTGGCTTGGTGCTTCCTGCAAACACTGTTGCATTCAAAGATCTGGAGTCATTGGAAGGAACTGGCCTCTGTTGGGTTCAAAGCCGACTGGCAAAAGGAACCACCTGCCAAACATTTCACATTTTGCTACATGGCTTTTGCTGGGTTTGTTTTGATTATTATTATTATTATTTTTAAATATCCACTCAAAAGCAACATTCCAGAGAGCACCTTTCATCCCTCCAGTTGCATCCACTCTGCTTAGTGGGCAGAGCCAGGGCTGTGTGTCTTTCACTGTTCCTAACAAGTAAGAGGATCTCGGATGCAGACTTCAGCCCAAGTAAGAATCTCCGCTTTCGTTTTACGAAAGGGCAGGTTGCTCGTCCTTTGGGTTGCAGAGGAAGGTCGAAAGCCAGCAGCAGTGGCTGATGAGATCTCAGAAGACAAACAAGCTCCTCAGCTTATCCAGTGGGCTGGATGCTCGGCAGCCCGTGCGGCTGGCTCCTTGCCCTTCCCCTTGAAGAAATTCTGTAAATTTGGTGCATTTGCATAACACATACACATCGCTGGATTCAGTTTGCTCTCGGCACAGAATCTGGATGTTTGGGGGAACACACAGCCCTGGGCCAGAGCTCACCTGGTCACGATCACACAGGTGGACAGGCGGTTCAGGCTGGTTCCGTCTCTCTCTGATCCATTCGCAGTGGGTGACTTCCCTTGTGGCACAGGACCAGCCAATTCTTGCAAAGCCTGTTTTGGGTTGAAGTCTTTCCAGGGATAGGATGCCATAAGGTGGGAACATTTCCATGTCACGGCACATCCACCCTGCCCAAATGAAAGCTAACCTTGTACTGAAAGCACCTGAGGAGTCTGGGCAGGGGCGCCCCCAGCTCTGTTCGAAGGACACCTTCCCAGATTAATTCTGTGCTATGTTGGAGGGCTGCAGGATTAGGCAAAGGGTGGCGGGGTGGGGGGTGGGGCTGGACATCAAGGGAGCTTTAGAGTCAGGCCAAAATGTCTGCGTTGTGCTGTGTTTCAGGAGGCGATAGCGGAGCAGCGGCGAGCCCTGACCAACCTGTTGCAGCAGCTGCTGAAAGAGAAGAAGCAGAGGGAAGAGGAGCTCCAGGAGATCCTGGTAAGAGCACCAGTGCCCATTCATCTGCGGATTTCAGTACGTACCGAAGCGAGAGTGGGGCTGAAGCACGAGCCCGCTCGGGCGTCAGGGATTCTTTGCTCTCCTCCAGTCTGTGTCCTGCTAGAGGGATCCCCAAAGGGATCTCTCCTTATATATAATTGAGTAAGAACATTCTATTTCACAACATTCTAAATTTGGCCTCCTTAGTGTTAGGCCGGAAAAACTGCCACTCAGAAAACACTGGCTGGGTTGACTGGCTGCTTTGTGCAGTCCCGCCCAGCGTTCCAAGGTTATTTGCATATGGAAGCTGATTGGACTACACTCCATTACACACCTCAAACTCACACACACACACACACCCCGCAAGACAGTTGGGATTTTCAGTTGCATAACATTACCTCATAGTGGAGAGGAGAATGATGTCAGCTGCCCTTTCCCTAGGCAGAGGCTGTGGGGGGGGGGGGTTTGTAA